GGAAACCCTGCTTCTTCCACCTGTTGAGATTCCTCGGCTCAGGTGGCTGCAGCGGCGAGACCCGTCTTTAAAACCCAGAGTCTCCCGGAGCTGGGCAAGATCGCGGCCAGCGGCCTCCAGCCGCTGTGACTCCCTTGTGACTGGCGTCCGGGCTCGGCAGGGACACCCTGCACGTGAAAGTTGGTTTTTGAGTTTTCTCCCTTCTTGCTCCTCTTAATTAACTGAACTTCATCCCTCCGACTGAAATCATCAGGCACAAAAATGTCCTTGAAGGGATCGGATCCAGAGGAGCTGTGTGTCACCCCTCTGCCCTGATGCCAGCACCGAGATGACTCAGAAACAAGTCTGCACTCATTCCAGCGCAAAGGCCTGTTACCTCGCCCGCCACATCACCACCGCTTTCCTACTCCACCGCCCTGTCCGCCCCTAGAGCAGGAGTCACAGTGCCGGCACTTATGTCCAGTCTCCCTGGGACAGCAGTTCCCGGGAGGGTTATTTGTCTGCCTTACCGTTCCAGTCAGCAGTCCTTAGAAAGTTTGCAGACCTCGCTTGCTTCTCCGACTCACTCCTCCGAACTACTCCCGCCAGAACTCAACCTCTCTGCCTGCCTCCACACAAAGGCGACCCGGGCTGCTCCCGGTACTCGTCAGGCAGTCCTCAGGCTAAGGGAAGCCCTTTCTCCTTACCCCCTTACCACAGACACACCAGAGCCAGACCTCCGCTCACAGGCAGTCACGGAATTGGCTCTTTTAGAGATCAAGTCCTCCTCCTCAGTTGACTCCCATCAACGCGTGCAGCGAGGATTAATGTATTATTATTACTATAATTATCACTGTTATCATTATTATTACTTTGCAAGACTCCTCCGGCTGCGGCAGATGACCATCGTGTTTATATAAAGATGAATCTTGCAAATGAACTTCTGTAAGACTAGAGAGTCGCAGGTTCTGCTGTTCAGTTGGCTTTCAATTTTGTTTAAAAAGTTTTCTCTTCCTCTCCTCTTTTCCTTTTTCCTTTACTCCTTCTTTCCAACAAACCATATGTTCTTCATTGCGAACCCGCTCTAAGTTCCCCCAAGGACCCCTCTGCTGCAGGGGCATGGCAGGGACAAACCCGCGGTGGCTCACCCAGACATTTCAATGCGGCGCCCAGATCCGCATCTTGTTTCTAAATCCAAGCTCACCCTGCCTGATTTTTTCTTTTTCTTTTTGATGGAGAGAAGAGCGGCACCAACGCTTTTGACAAGCGACCGTGGAATTGGGGCGCAAAATGACCGACCTTGATGCTGTGGTGGCCGCGCTGCTGCGCGGATTTAAACCCACGCATTCGCCAGTAGGTCACACTGTTGGTCAGGAAGCCCGTGACCCAGAATCTAGAGTTTTATTTTACTCCTTGTTGTAGGACTGTGAGTTGTCCCACTGTATCCTGCCGCCCAGCGGTGCAGTAAAGCAACCTCTACCTCCCCACCCTCGTGGGCCGGTCCCCGCCTCGGCGACTCTCCCACCAGACCCAGCAGAGAGATCCCTGGAGACCTTCACCACCACATTACTCCTCTCTCTGTCTCTCTGTCTCTCTCTCTCAACATTGTTTTACATAGATTATAATTCTGGCTTAAGACTTTCTTCCTCCTAGAATCCTAGATCATCTCTGGGAGGCCCGGGGAAGCTCCTGCATGGACAAACACTCCCTCCAGGCCATGGCCCCCAAGTGAGGAGGCTGTGTAGAGAAAAGTGTTGCCAAGCCGGGGCAGAAGCCACTCCAGACCTTTGGGATGAAATTCCCAGATCCATACCCGCTGGCCAACTAAGAACTACGCATAATCCACGGAAACACCTCTAAAGTGTGTGTGTGTGTGTGTGTGTGTGTGTGTGTGTGTGTGTGTGTGTGTGTGTAGAGGGAGGGGATACAGGAGTCAACCACAACGTTCCGTTCCCTTCTTCATCCCCACATGTTGCAAGGGTTAAATTATACTATGTTTGTCCTCAAGACTCAAATGTCATTTTACAAAGATGTGAATGGCAGGACTGGATGCCAGGATCATTCCCAGGATTGTTGCAGGCACTTCCCTGGACACATTGGAGGTTGGCCATGCCCCCGAGGAATAGCACTGCTGTCCAAACCTGGCTTCTCCCTCCTAGAGCTACCGCTGGCATTCATTTGTCTAATTAGTGGCTGTACTGTGGCCATATTGAGCACCTGGACTTGGTAGCCCAGCGGCTTCTAGCTGAGGCGAGTGCTGTGGGTGGAGACTCGGAGACTCCTGACACAGGCTGTTAGGGTCAGGGTGGTTTCAGCTTCCAGCCACACTGGGGAAAAAGGGAGAGAGAGAGAGAGAGAGAGAGAGAGAGAGAGAGAGAGAGAGAGAGAGAGAGAGAGAGAGACTGCCAAGTCAAGCCTCCTAAACGTCTGGGGGCCAGGAATTGTCAGACCCGGAGGTGATAACTTGTGTGCTTCTTCCAAGTCTGGCTTGCCTGGTTTGGTTTGGCGGGGTAGGTGCCATGGTCAGAAGATCCTCAGCCAATGTCACCCACCACCTTGGCCTTCACCATGGAGTTTTAGAAATGGTCCAGCTGCTGCATCCACTCAGTGCCCCCAGGACTTCTGGGGCCTTCTGGGCAGAGATGAGTTGGCCTTATCCTTTAGTTAGCATGTGAAATGGAGAGTGCTGGGCACGGGAGGAAAGGAACTCAGTCATTGCCTCTACCCTTACCTCATCTCTGCCTCTGAGTATACATTTTCCTAGCAGGTGGTAAGTACTATTGAAGTACTATGAAGGTACTGTTGAACTGGCACCCATGAGCTGTTCAACTGGTGATACTTCGGTGGAAGTGTCCCAGAGGACTCTCGGAACCCAGAAAGGAATCTGCAGCGACTTATTATGAACAAGTTACCATTCCTGGCTCCCCAGCGGGATCAGCCCCTCTGGAGAACTGAGGCATAGCACTAAAGCCTTGAACTAAAACCCAGAGGAGACTCGGCCCCAGAGGGCTCTAACCCTCAAGGAGGGATCCCTTTTCACAGAGTGTGCAGCCTGAATTTATACCCTCTTGAAGTTCACCTTGGGTCCCTCACCCTCCCGCGGATTAAAGCCGACCTTACAAAGAGCAAAACCCGGCCTCTGCTCAGCTATGGAGATGGGGGGAAAAAAAACTTGGGAAAGTCTGGCTCCTCAGTTGCTATGGGTGTGCTGAGCTTTAGAAAACGCGTACTCAGAACCTGAAGGACCCCAGTCCTGAAAAGCGGAGTGAGAAAGTTGTGTGCCCTGACAAACAGAATCATTTAATATAAAACTTGGTTAAGCAGGACTCCGGGCAAACAGCTTCTGGGCTTTCCACTGTGAACTCAAATGCTCCTCCCCCCCAAGTGTGGGTGGGTGGGGGTGGGGTGTCCAGACATTTTTCCTGGAGTCCCCAGAGGCCTGTCTCGCCTGCTCCCAGGGTCAAGGAAGCCTTTTGACTTGAAGGGGAGCACAGAGCTACCCAGCTTTTCCCACTGGGAGTGAACTCTTAAAGGGCCAGCTCATAGACTTTGAACAGTTACCCGTACCCCCCACCCCACCCCCCACCCCTGCAACCACCAATCTTGCCTCTTGAGTTTGCCTTAATTAGGGGGTGGGCAAGTAGGGATTGGGGGCCTGAGTTCACGTCAAAACTGTCAAAGGAGATGGGCGTAGAGGGCCATAGAGAGAGGGGTGGAGGACTCAGGGGCAGGAAAAATTCAAATATCATAAAAGGAAAAAGGGGGAACTTGAAGCCCAGAAGTCATTGTTTCCTTTATTTCAAAGGGAAAAAAAACCTGCCTGATTCTCATCCTTTTGATTGATTAAGGCCCTGAATACCTCTCGGCCCCAGAGTGACAGTCCCTGAATAGACTCGAGGGAATAAAGAGCGGTGCAGAACGCGGGCCTGGCACTCGGGGGTGTAAAGGAGCCGAGTTCGCTGGCACTTACCAAGTTATAAATAAAAGGCCATGCACAATGGTACCTTCTCTAAGGACAGACAGTCTTTACAACACTCCTGGCGTCATATCCTGCTGGGGACACTTCAGCTCCTAGCCAAGACTTTGCCCCTTTTATTTTTTTTTTCCAGCAGTTTAGTCTGAATGCCATAATAAATTCCTGAGAACAAACGCCGCAGCAGCCGGGCAAGAAAACCTCAACATATAGATGCATGTGCATCGGGGATCGATCTGTATGTGAGATTTAGAGTCCCGGCTTCCCAGAAGGGCTTTTAACCCAAGGAAAGGAGCCGAATCCCCCATCCCAGCTTGCAACTTCTAGTCCAGGGGGGCCTTGCCACGTCTGTCTATGTCTAAGGCTACCCCACCTATCCTTCAGTCCCTTTCTTTCAGACTAAGAAAGACAAAAGGACCTTCTGGGAGCATCCTGGACTCTCCCCTAGAGGAGCCGCTCGGAGAGGCTCCCACTGCGAGCCCAGGCCCAGCGCAGACCAGGGAAAGGAAAACTAAACACATCCGGGACTCCTTATGCCTTTTTTCCCCCGAGTTTCCCCGCCCCCATCCCCGGGTTAGCAGCCTTGAAGAGAGGTCCGCTGGTGAAAAGCAGAGACAGACAGAGAGAATAAAGAGACAGATAGAGCGAGCCTCTCAGGGAGAGACACAGATTGGGACAGCCAGACAGGAGTGGAAAACCAGAGATCAGAGGGACGCACACGTAGAGTGACAGACACAGCGAGCCCCTTCTCCATCCTCAGCCGCTCCCATCGCCCAGGCTGCCTCTTCCAGTTTCAACCTGTCTACGCTTCTCTCTTTTGAGGGGAAGGGGCACAGAGCTGGTCCCCCTCCGGGTCGGTGGAGGCCTGGGCACCGTCAGGGATGGGAAGAGAAAGTAGCCTCTGTCGCCCAATCAGCGCGTGTCTTCGCCACCCGGGACGGTCTCCTCGTCGGCCAATCGCAGCTCAGGGCTCCTGACCAAGCTTTGGGTGAAAGAACTAATAAATGCTCCCTAGTCCGGATCCCTGCACTCGGTGTCACTACGGGAGGAGACTCGGGCCGTGCTCCCGCCTCGGCGTTACCACCCGCCCGCCCCCATCTTCCTGGCGCCTTGAGCACCCTCGCCCGTGGCCCCAGCTGAGGGGCCTGTCTGCCAGACTCGCACCAAAACTTGTCCGCCTTGGGCTTAGGATCCTTCATTCTAGGAACTTCTCTGGAGCGGGTGGACCAGGAGCTAGCAGCCCCCCTCCCTCCCCCGCGCCCCGCCTCCCTCTCCTGCCTTCTTTTTTTTTGGGGGGGAGGAGCTCTCCGCGATCTGGAGAGTTCCCGAGGGTCACCCGCCGCCGCATTGCGCTCGCTTTTCCGTCTCGCCTTCACCTGGATATAATTTGCGAGCGAAGCTGCCCCCAGGATGACCACGCTGGCCGGCGCTGTGCCCAGGATGATGCGGCCCGGCCCGGGGCAGAATTACCCACGCAGCGGCTTCCCGCTGGAAGGTATGTTAGGGCCTCAGCCCATCCGGATCCCGGGGCTCGGGATTGGCTGCCGCACCCCATTCCAGGTCTCCAGGGCCTGGAGTCGCGCCTTCCCCGGAGCCTCTTCCTCCATACTTCCCATCCCAAGAAGCAATGGTGGGGAGGGGGTCTCGTGGAGGGGAGAGAAGCCCCATTTCGCTTTCAGACTGCAAACGCCGCACCGTGCTCTCTACAAACCCTCAGAGCTGGCCCGGCCTGCTCGGGCCGGTTCCACTTTGCCCTGTTTTGGAGTTGCTGTCGTGAGGAGGAAGGTGGATAAGCTTCGCAGCCACGGAAGCAAAATTATGTTCACCCCAAGTTGCTACGAAACTGTCCCGGCTGCGCCCACTTTTGAAAAAAAAAAAAAAAATCCCCAAACTCCTGTTAGTTCGGCAAGAATTTTCCGGCTGCGGAAAACTGAGGTGGTCCGTCCTAACTGGAAGTTTTAGTATGGATTAATTAAATTCCAATCGACTCAAGAGGCATCTCGAAGTTTCTAATGTGTTTGGGGATGCCTTTTGGTTTGCTTGAAGGTTCTGGGAAATTTCGGGGAGGTAGCAGCTACTACTGCAAACCCGAACCCTACCAAACAATTTGGGAAGTAAGGGTGTCACAGTCCTTCGACCTTGGTCCAGAGGAGAACGAACTGCGGCTGTGGTAATCGTAGCCAGGCTCGCCGCCGCCGCCGCCGTTTTTATTTCTGAGATGTAACAGGTGATACACGCTGTCACCTGTGTCTCCTTTCCGGATGCTCCCCGACCCTTGCCTACTACGCTCTGATCCGGAAACAGTAAAGGCAGTCGGCTTGCTCCAGACTCAGCCGGGATTTTGTGGCAGTTACCGCAAGACATTTCAGGCACCAGGCTAGTTCCCCCTCCAACTTGCAGCACCCCCTTTCCCTCCCCCCAAAAGAGAAAATACAGCTTTCTCTACAGCAAGTTATCTTTTTGCAATTACTCAATTTCCAAAAGATTATATGCCCCTGCAGTGGGTAATTATTTAAACAATCATAACAGTCAGGGTCGGGGCTCGGAGTCGAAAGCCTGGTAGTTGGTATTGGACTGTCACGGGCCGGGAGGGGGGGGAGCGGGGGTGTTGGCCGGAAGGATGCAGAATTAGGTTCTTTCTGATGCTTTTTATTCTTCCTAAATGACTTTTTCCCTGGGCTCTGTCCTTTGCATTCTCTTCCCAGTGTCTACCCCCCTCGGCCAGGGCCGGGTCAACCAGCTTGGAGGAGTATTTATCAACGGCAGGCCTCTGCCCAACCATATTCGCCACAAGATCGTGGAGATGGCCCACCATGGTATTCGGCCTTGCGTCATCTCTCGCCAGCTGCGCGTGTCCCACGGTTGCGTCTCTAAGATCCTGTGCAGGTACCAGGAGACAGGCTCCATCCGCCCTGGTGCCATTGGAGGCAGCAAGCCCAAGGTGAGCCTGGGGCCTGGTTTCATGGACTTGGGGCCTGTGCTCAGCTGGTGGGGAGTGGGCACCGTCTAGCCAGGAGCTAGGGACTTTCCAAGGGAAGTATTTTCCATATCTAGGAAGGAGTGTTTTTGTGTGTGTAGAACTCAGTTGTTATGGTTGCTAGTGGTCCTTGAACACTGGAAAAAGTCTGGGCATTTTTTTTTAAATGCCTGGGAACCTTGGAACCCTCATCAAATTCTTTTGATAAACACCTAAAGCAATCCCACCCGTGGCCGATTTTCCCTGAGAGTCTTCCCACTGCCCCATCCTAGAATGAAGCTAAGGTCCTTGAAGAGATTCTTTCCCAGCTTTGACACCGCCCCCCCCCCTTTCCAGTGCAAATTGTTTTTGAGAAGTCAAAAGTCAGGGCTATTAGTTTTCTTTATAATAAGCCTCTTGACTCCATTTTATAAAGCAGGTAGGTGAGATCCTTAAATGATGTTAGTTTTCTTTAATAAGCAAGAAAGCCCTGCTGGTTAGGGAGTGGGAGGAGATTATACAGGGGCCTGCCTTCTCTTTGGGCTATGCAGAGAAGTCAGTATGATTTTCTAGTTGCCAGGTTGGGGTGGGGGGGCAAAACCAGACACTGAAGACTCCCAAACACAGTCCCTCTCCTTCCCCATTTTCTCTCTTAACCTGAGAATCTTAGGAGACAGTTTTATTCCAGTGGGTGAAAGAGTCATTCTTATGTTTGTCTAATTAAACAACAAAAATAACAACAACAGTAACAGCACAACCTAGATACAAGGCCTTTGAAATCTCAACCTAATCCTTCTGTAGCTCAGATCTGACCTCTTTGGAACTGACCTAATTTGATTTTTTCTGTGGTTCTTTCAAGCATTCTCTTTTTAGTTTCGTTTTTGTGTGGATTCGGTGGGGTTTCTAGTGATCAGAAAGCACAGCCCTCGTCTCCAAACTTATAATTTTTTTCTTAATTTCATCTGGTCCCCCGAGCATCTTCAGGCAGGTGGAGGGTCTCCAGGCTGCCCCGAATGGGATAATTTCCTGTCTGCTCCTTTCTAAACTCAATTAAAGTCATTTGGCTACGCAGAGGGACATTCCCAGAGAATACAGGAAGGAGCATCCAACAGACCATGAGGTGGGGGCACCCTATCTGGCTCACAATACCGGGTACCAACGCACCACCCGCCTATTCTCTTAAAGCAGGTGACGACGCCTGACGTGGAGAAGAAAATTGAGGAATACAAAAGAGAGAATCCGGGCATGTTCAGCTGGGAAATTCGAGACAAATTACTCAAGGACGCTGTCTGTGATCGGAACACCGTGCCCTCAGGTACTGGGTCCATTAACTTTTCCCGGAGGCACGACCGTCAGTCTCGTACTCCAGTGGTCCAGCCCAGTCATAAAATCGCCCCAATGATCCATCGTGACTATTGGGAGGCTGCCCTGAAATATTTACAAGCCAGACATTCTTCATGTTTTATGGAGCACTGGGTGAACTGCTGGTCCCCAGGGTGGCGGCTTGGAGGACGACCGAAGTTTCCCCCGCAAACGCATTTCTACTAAGGAGGCTGGGACTGGGGCGGAAACGCAGGGCACAGGCCAAATGAGTATTAGTATTGATGTTTCCTTCTAAAAGAGAAACAAATGTCTTGGTAACTTCCACTGAAGGGGAGATCCAAGCAGCACCGGTGGAGAGTTGACTCGGGCAGTGAAGGGGTGAAAATTCGGCAGGACGCGATTTTCCCGGGAGTTTCAGGATCCATCCAGTATCCTGGCAGCTTGGGAAAGGTCCAGGGGAAAAAGGGCCAGTGCTGGGCCTCCGCGCGGGAAGAGTTTGTTTTTAATTAAAAGGAAACTCCTTTTTTCCCTCTGTAAGAACGATATATTTCAGAGCATGGATTTGTTTACCAGACTGGAATCTGGAAAAAATAAATCGGAGAGAGCGCGTTTTCTTTTGATTTTTTACAATAGGGAATGATTCTGCAGTTGAAATTTAAACCCTTTCTATCCTCAAAACAAGTTGATTTGCAGGCGACAGGCCCTCTGTGGTTCTTCTCCCCAGGATTTTGGGGTCCAATGTCTTCGGGTGGGGAGGGAACACTGTGAAGGGTGAGCTGGTGGCAGACGTCTCTTAGGGTGTTCAGAGACTACTAGCCAACAGCTTCTCGGAGAGGGACAGAGGTAACATTTCTCGTTTATGAATTGGAGGTGCTGCGAGATTTCTAGTTTCCAGTTCCAGTCTAAGTAATTAAAACTCCATGAAAGTGTGAGGGATTTTTTAAGACCCGAGAGAATGCACAAGGACCCGGATAGAGAAATGAGCCTCTCCCAGGAGCAGGAAGGGGGTTGAGTGTCTCGGCTGGGCCCTTGAGGTCTCCTTTGGGATCACCCCCGACGCCTCTCAGTCATGTGCGCTCCCTTCCTCCTCTTATCCCCAGTGAGTTCCATCAGCCGAATCCTGAGGAGTAAATTTGGAAAAGGAGAAGAGGAGGAGGCGGATCTAGAGAGGAAGGAAGCCGAGGAAAGCGAGAAAAAGGCAAAACACAGCATTGACGGCATCCTGAGCGAGCGAGGTAAGCGGCCCCATGGAACCGTGCGCTCCACGGAGAGGGCGCTGGTTCTAAGACTTGTGGGTCTGCGCAACCGCAGACCGGCTCTGGCTTGTCTCAAAGCTTACCTCTGGCCGGAGGACATTCAAGTGAAAGACCAGAGAGGTACTTGATATTAAAAAAAAAAAAAAAAACAAAACCTTCTCTATTCTAATTTTTATTTATTTTTTTCCTGGCTTTCCAATCCGGGACCTCATACACGCCCAGCAAGGGCTGGACCCTTGAGCCACACTCTAATAATACTAACTCTTAAGTTATCGTGAGTTTTATTCTCCATCCTGTCTAGTTTCTTGGAGTAGAGAAATCTGAAACGCGTTGCAGGTGGACACTTTCCAGATGGAAACTAAACTTCTCTGAAAAAAAAATTATATGGTCTGAGAATAGGGAAGTAGTTAATGAAGTCTGAGGATCTTGAAGTAGTTTTTACACTCTGGGAACTACTGTGCGTGTGGGCGAGAATTAATGAGACTGATTCTTCTGGACACTGGGAGCCTAAAACTGTCCCACCTCTGCTGCCTTATACATGCGTGTGTTCGCGCACGTGTGTACATAAGCTGGCTACTTTTCATTTGTTTTCAAGTGGGATGAAGTATATAACCTGTATGTGTCTGGCAACCGATGGTGCCCAAGTGGTGGGTTCTAGGGATCTGGGTCAAAGGGATCAGTGTTCTTGAGTCCCCCCCCCCCAGTGCTCGCCATCACCCGCTGTCCCCCCAGGGGTACAGACCACCCACTCCTTGTTGGCTGCGACCTGTCAGCACCAAAAAGAAAAATCTCCCTCCAGGGGATGGAGAATTACAGGCTGCTTCCCTATTACCTGCTTGGAGTTATCTTCAAAAATAAAGGTTTACAGAAAGAAAGAAACCCTTTCTACCAGGGCTTTCTGAGATGATCTAGAAGAAAGATGGCTTTAGCATACAGATTGGTGTATCTCTCTCTCTCTCTTTTTAAACCTTCATTGTGTATCCTTGAGACAACTGCCTTCCTTCCAGGAAAGCTGCTTTGCAAACCAATACAAAAGCCGTACCCTCGATATTTAGAGTTGGGTGTTAGCAACCAAGTGCCTGACTTCTAATGAACCGGAAGGAAGCCCAGATGCTTTAGGGCACACATATAATCAAGAGAAGGCACCCCGAATAGAAGTGATCAGGGAGATGGCACATGCTATTACTTCTGTGTTTACAGCAGGGGCTCTTGTGAAGTCTGTGTAAGCCTGGACAAATGCTTTTCTGGTCACCTCTGGTTTATATTCCAGCCCTAGCTGCAGGCTAGAGGTGCTAGGGTGAAAGAAGGCAGAGAGAGGACTGAGGACCCAGACTTCTCCCAGGCCCAATGGGATCCTAAAGCGGAGGCTAGTAGGTCCTCTGGTTATGGGAGAGGCCTTACTGGGGATCCACGGTGTTGCTACTTGTTGCTAGAAGTGGCAGCCAGGCAGACCAGCCGCTCCCTCGCTCCCTCGCAGCCCAGCCGCAACAACCAAGGCCCTGGAGACAAAACGTCCCAAATGAGCTGGTCAAACATTTGTACAACTTTTCCAGCGTTTACAAAGAAGGCCTTCTCTACACAATCTACACTTGGAGATGAACTTGGGAGACAAAGCCTGGAGAGTCCATTGAAACTCACACTTTAGCTTGGCCCAGACAAAGCTCCAGCTCCGAGCAGCTTGATGTGAACAAAGGAAGGCAGCCTTTTTATAATTCAAGGAGAAAAGAAGAGAAAACAGCCCCACAAAGGGGCCCAGAATAGACATTATGGGCTTGCAATGAGGGATGAATTATTCAATGAGCCGCAGTAGCTGCTCAGCCAGGAAGTTTTATGGACTCTCCAGCGTGGAAAAAGTGGCCATTTCACCTACAAAATGTTTCTAGTCTTTTGGGTCGCCTCGCTGGGCCGGCTGCCATTCAAGGGCAATTGCTACCATTTTTAAAAATCAGAGTGTTTCCCCCAGTGGGGGCTGTGTCCTTGAAACACACACACACACACACACACACACACACACACACACACACACACACACACACGCCCCTCCCTCAGAGGCTGAAGTCTAATTTAATTTGGGGTTGTCAAGGAAGATGCAGCCTGGGTCCCTTCAGTGCCTCCAGCTTCCTTTCCGGATGAACCCTGGAGGGCAAGAGGGGCCCAGAGAAAGGATAGAGTGAGAGATGCAGTTTGAAGTCTAGAAACCTCAAATATTCCCCTCTGTTGTTTGGGCATCAAAAGTCTCCGGCGGTCCCACTTGTAAAATAGAATGGATCTTGAGAAAGGGCTCCCTGAGTCCTGGCAAAGGGGAGGGAAAAACTGGCGGAGGAGTGTCCCCACCACTGCTGTGTGTGCCCTTGCCAGATGGGCCTGGTACCTGCTGCTGAGACTGGCTTTCCTGGACACAAATTTGGCCTGGGATCTGCTTGGCAGACGCTTGGATGCGGGGAGAAAGGCATCCAGACAGAGGTCAGAGCCACGCTCTTTTGTTCAAGCTCTTGTCCCTTTTTCCTAAACGGTTCCTTTGCCCTTCCCCAAGTTTCCTTCTCTCTCGTCCAATCCAAGAGCTGCTCAGCCCGTGCAGCAGTGCATCCAGCCCTGCGCTCCCAGGGAACCCTAGGTTTTTTGTACCCCTGCTGAGTCCATCCTTCCTGCTCCAGGATATTGGTGAAAGAAGAGGGGTGAGCGGCCGGGGACCTTCACCCTCGGTCCCTGGCCAGAAGTGCGGACACGGAGCAGGCGCAGCCGGACTTGCGGAGTCCGAGCTCAGGCACCCCGGGCTGCGGCAGCTCAATGGGCGCCTCTGTTCCTCCCCCGGCTCAGCAGAGCGGGCCCGCGGGCGCCGCCACAATAGCCCGGGCCCCCGCTGCTGCGCCCTGCGCCAAAGCGCCGCGCCGCCCCTCCCCGCTCCGGCCGGCCCGCAGCTTAGCTCGCCGGGCTGCAGCCGACTCAATTGCCTCCTTTATGTCCTCTCACTTTCATCTAGACACAGCCCGCCTCCCCCTTCTTCTCCTCTTTTTTTTCCCTCCCTCCCTAGCCTGAGGCTCACATTAGTGAAATTTCTGCAACCTCCCCCCATTTTTTTTTCTTATTTTAAAGAAAGCCCTTAACACAAAAGCGGTGACTAATCGATGAAACTGCTCCTTCATCATCCTCCCCTTCTCCTCCTCCCCTCTTTCTCCCCCCCCCCACCCTCTGCCTCTTCCTCCTCTTCCTCCTCCTCCCAACCCCCCTCCCTTTCTCTCAGCAGGGTGACGCTTTTCCTGTTTGTGAGTTTTGGGCAACATTTTTGCTTTGTGCCGTAATGGAATTACCGGACAGACGGGGACTGTAGATGGGACACGCGACGGCAAGACTTTCCGCTTAAATATTTAGATGTAACGTTACAATTACCGACTTGTTGCTGTGGCTTTGAAGTGGCCGTGGGGGAGCGAGCGCAGGGGGAAAGAGGCCAGATTGCCAAACTGATGTTTTGATTGGGACTGGAGACACACTTTCACCGGACTTCTCCCCCCATTTAAAAATAAAATCTTAAATAAGCACGGGAGGTTTGCAACAATCACAGAGAAGAAACAGAGAAATCCGGCACAGGATGGCTGGAAGCCTATATTCCCTTCACATGTCTTCAGTGTGTGAAAAAAAAAATCAGCTTTTTTTTTTTTTTAATTTTCAGAAAATGCAAGTATCAGAAGTTTTTCTTGAGCCCGTTTTGTGGATAAGCTCATGCTCTTTTCTAAAATTAATGACAAATGACGTCAGATTAAAAATGTATGTCTATAAAGACCAAAGCGCGGGGATGGGGTGGGGTGGTGGGGGTTGGGGGGGCGGGGGCAGGTAAAGTTCTTGGAATATTTCGTTCCCAGTAGATTGTTTGGGAGGCACTTTCGAATGAAGGGAGTCATGCTGTGAAAAGCATAGCCATTTGCTTCTTCCGTGTTGGTGGAGAAGGGAATTGTTGGTGTCCGGTTAGTTGGTGTTGGTTGGTGTGCAGGCACAGGCTGAGCCTTCCCACAGATTTAAATAACGGGAGCGCAGGATCACAGATTTTTGGACCCAGATCATCTATTACTGGTCACTTCCCGACTATTCTCAAGTCCATTTGGCAGGACAGGAGTCTACTCTCAACATCGTATTTAAAGTTTTGAAGGCTTTGCAATTCTGCTCAAGGGAAGTGTCTCTCTCATTAAAAAAAAAAATTGTCGACGACAGTGGGCCACCACACTGCAGTAGCATTCCCTAGCCAGAGTAAGGGAGACTCTGTGCCTTAGCGCTTTCTTTTCCCCCTTGCTTGACTGGGGTAACTAACTGCTGTATGCTTGCTTCCTAGCTTTATTGAAAACATGCAGATTTTCTAATTAATGCTTGAAATCATATGTTTATTTTGGGGTTTGATGTGATTGTTGATAGCACCGGAACAGGAGGTAGGGGCTTCCAGTGTGTAATAATTACTGAAGGGTCATTTAAGAGTCCCCAGGGCTGAGTCATAAAACCCACCCGGGGCGGTGATGCGGAACCAGAAAGTGTGCCTCGGTGCAGGCAAGTGGTACACAGAAATCAATCAAGTGAACAGGAGCGTTGCCCTAGCGGTTTCAACATCCATGGATAGTCTCAGGACAGGACAAAAATCCTTCCTAATCACGAGATTAAACGTTCAAGTTATACAGAAATAAATGGCCAGCAGAATGAAAAGCTCAGTGACGAGTTGCCTGGCCCGGGACCCAGAAAGTTTCAGTTCAGTGGAACCCTATGACAGGTAACTTATTTATTCACTCCAGTAAATGAAGATTAAGGAACTATTAAGACCAAGAACCCACCATGTAACTTACCAGCCACTAAATGGCAATTAAGCAGTCAGCTTCTAGTCTTATCTCACTGGCTGCTCTGGGGTTGTTTTACAACTAGGAATTAAAATCTGAAAGGGGAGTTTTCTGCAGCTCTGGCCAAATATTGATTAAGTAGCTGTTTGTTGGTGCCATTACCATCCA